GAGCGCTAGGTGCAGGCGACAGCAGGCTTCATTCGTCGTTGCGGGGTGGTGCATCAAACAGGCTCTGCACACCTCTGCGCATGTTGTGGTAAAACTTGAGCGTGCCCGAGACGTCATCCTCAAACGTCTTTAGCTTCTGCTGGATGAGCCGCTGCAGCTGGCTGTCGCTACGACTCTTGGTATCGGTAGATGGCGGTAATGGTGCTGTGGCGGCTGTAGTCTTGGCGACTCGTGTCTCTGGCTCGCCATTCTCCTCGCTGTCCGTGGCGTCGCTCTTGGGCGCGTGACGCTTCTCGTTCTTCAGTTCTGATCCCCTTCGCTTCGGTTGGGACGTCCGCTCTTCCGCCGCCTCCTGGCGTAGGTCATCGAACAGGCTGCTGAGCTGACCCAGCGTTCCTCGATCCATCATCTGCATCACCTCTGCGCGCGCACACCGATCCATCAACAACCAGCGTCTAAACAGCGCACACGCTATGCACGCGCACGGGAGGAAAGAAAGAACAAAAAGCATGAACTAAAGTGGAAGGTGCACCCTCGTCGGCAAGCGGGGTGACGTAGTTCGCCGGTATGCGCCCGCACTCGCCGTCGGGGTGGATGGCGAGCACCCACCGCACCCCGCGACCAAGGCTACCGGTCGCGCTGACAGTGGTGGCCTCTCCAGACCCGCTGCCGCCCCGCTCACGCCCCACCACGGGGGCGGGGTTGGTGCGGTGGACGAAGGCGGCGAGGGAGAGAGGGCACGCGAGGAGCACTTCATCGCGGCTGAAGGTGAGGTCACCCTTCTCCATGCCCGTGTAGCTGAACCGAGCCCGGCAGAACGCCACCGGCTTCTTCTCCGCCCACTCGGCTCTTCCCGACATGCAACGAGCTTGGAGAAGATGAGAAGATGAAGATGATACCAGACTCGCCAACTGCAGAGAAGCAAACGGCTCCAAGCTTTGACCTGTCTCCGAGGCGCCTGTGTAACTTTACAGCAACAGCCGTTGCCAAGTTTTCTTTTCATTTTTCAAAAGAAAAAATAAGAATAAAAATTCAAGAAGGCGATCCATCCGGCGATGGACGACAGGGCTACGTACCAAGCGCTGCACGATTACTTGTTCGAGAATGAATCGGCTCTCGAGATCTCGTTCGCCGAGTTTCAAGAGTGCTTTCCCAAGAAACATCAGAAATCGGCAGAAATCAAGCGATTGTACCAGGAGGTGAAGAAGGGGCAGCAGGAAGCGAAGCGAACAGTCGTGGCCAATCTGAAGAGCGAGTATGCGTTGGTGAGGGGCCGGCCTGAGGACGAAGAGATCAAGGAGACCCTTGCGGTGCTCAAGGAGGTCGAGCAGGACCTGGAACCAGAGTACAAGCACGCGGTAGAGGACCTGGTCGATCTGCAAGAGCAACTGCACACGCTGGAAGACAAGCTCAACAATCTGGCCGAGCACGACCGACCCCTCAAGAAGGCAAAGTTCGACCTGCCCGCCCTCCACGATCTGAAGGACCGATTAAACGTTGATTGAACAGCCCTGTGTGCATCTTATGTACTTCCATCTGGTTCTCTTGTTCTCGTTCAACCCTTCTTGGCCTCCTTTCTCGATTGTACCTGCGACGTAGAGGCGGCAGCCTTGCCGCTCGTCGACTTCTTCCACAGCCTCCTCCGCTTCGCCTTCTTCTTCTGGGTGGCCTCGTCGGGGCTCTCCTGCTGCCGCTCGCCTCCTCTTCTCTTGCGCTCGCTCTCCTCCTTCCGTGACAATAAGGTAACGTTAGTCTTTCATCAAAGCTTGGCGTGTGCGTGCGTGCGTGCGTGTCTCACCCTCTCCTTCCACAGACGTGTCCCCCTGTGTGCGGGTCCAGGCCTAAGCAGAACACAGCTCACCCGCCTGCTGGAGCTGTAGGCCTACCTTCTTGGAGATGGGCACGCTCTTCCTGCTGCTGCTGATCTTGCTACTCTTGCCGCCGAGCCTGCTGCCGCTGCTGCTGCTGCTGCTCGTGAG